AAGGTGGGCGTGTCATATTCTACAGGTTATTGTGCACTGTGCAGCGCCCCCTGTTGATGAAGCATCCGATTAAAATGGTTTCTCTATCGGCTGGTTCGCTAGATAGCACCAAGGTTCCAAGAATCTTGAACGGATCCGGTTCAAGAACCAGAACTACTTTGTTGGAAAAGGCGCCATAGAGATAGTTCATAACTGTACCTGGTACCTGAACAACTTCAGCCAAACTTATTATCACATCTGTGTTTAGTGAGGGTGAGTTGGAAATACGGGACATGATCCTGGGATGCAGGAAACATTCGGGAGAGCAGACTTACCATCAAATCTGTCACTGTGTCATACAAGATGTACAAGAAAAGCTCTTTTTTAGTAAAAACATCATATTTCCTATACCTAAACTTATAGGTAAATGTTGAATCAAATGTACTTGATTCACAGTGTAATATCATACAGTTTATACTCCGTATTTTACAAAGAAAAAGGGAGTTCCCATTCAGAGTCAGTCTATCACCCTCTATATAATACCGTACAGTCAATATTCTCTTATCTAGAGTGATAGCCGGCATTAAATGTAAAAATGTTATGGTATTGTTTTTCTAAGGGACTTTAACTCATTTTAAAATTGTAATGTTTCGTGTGTTTTGTTGTTCGTTGTTTGTTCAGCCTGCAAGTGTAACGGCCACGCCAGCATGTGCAACCCCAACAACGGCAAGTGCTTCTGCACCACCAAAGGCATCAAAGGAGATCGCTGCCACCTGTGAGTTCCGCCTTTTCCATCATATTTTCTCCTCGGTACATTCTCTTTTACACTTGGGCTGTCATGTTTAAGCCCCTTACAGTTAAATTCTGGGAAGGGGAGTATGATTTAGTCTTTTTTTTTTTTTTGTCCATATGCCCGTCAGATACTGTATGTGTGACAGTGAACCACATAACTTTTTACAGGAGTCGTTTTGGACTTCATTCACGCAGCAACTGAACACTGGTCTATAGTAGTGCCAGTAGAGGAGGAAGAAGAAGAATAACTGTAAAACATGATATAATCTATATTTGCATGTTTTCAAAAGTCAAGACCCTTTTTTGATTTGCAATAATGTTTTAAATTCAATGATTGTTTGAGAAAGTAAAGACCTGCGTGGGTGGATGTTAATATGTTGAGATTTTAAGAAGAGTCAATACCCTCTGCCTTTTTTTTTCTGGCACACTGTAGTAGCAGCTGTTCATTAGTGCTACAGTAGCAGCACTAATCTTAACTTTGGCCCTCATTACCATTGGGCTTCCCAAAACCCGTTAAAAACTTGAGATACACTTTCAGGAATGAGTGGTCATCAGTATGAAAATGAGGCTATTTCTTTCTTTTTGAAATGTGAAGTTTTGTAGTCAGAAGGTTTCTGTTTGTGATGTCTGTCAGCTTCTCTAGATCTTCTCTCTTTCTTCTTTGTCTGTTTTCTTTTCATCGCACTCTCATCGACTGAAGGTCGACAGTGTGTTCTCTCAGCTCCGTATCTGACACATGGATTTCCTACAGCTTTGTTTTTATTAGCAATTAAATCTGATCCACTTTTCTTCCTCTCTGCCTTCTTTTCTTCCCCTTCTTTCTCCCTCTACCCCATGTTTTGCCTTTATTTCCGTTCATCCATCCTCCATCCCTCTCCTTCAGGTGTGAAGTCGAGAATCGTTACCAAGGCAACCCCCTCAAAGGAACATGCTACTGTAAGTGGAATTCCAATTACCAGCTTCACACATTAAAAAGCCACCGTGAGGCCTTAGTCTCTTTCCCTTGTTCAGGTCAATGCCAGGACAGTTACATGGCTCTTAAAATCAAAGTAGGTCTGAAGTAGTTTGATGTTTTAAAGAAACAAAAGCCGGAGGTGAAACAGCCTTTTTTAACCAAGTCGCGGGTGGAAAGAGACGCAGATGTTTTTAAGGACCGTCTTTGTGTTTCTCCTGCTGCAGTGACAGACTGCAGTATGGTTGTCCACACTGCAGATTAGTCTCCTGTCATTATTATTCTTGACAGTTGTGGTTATTTAGAATATAATCATGTAGATAGGAAATTGGTACATCTGACAAACCATGGAATTTAACTTACATTGTCCTCCATTGTCTACAAACACTCATTCCTTATTATTTCCTAATCTGATAATGCTTTTTAAGAATACAGAAGGAGCCAGGAGTGGGTGATATATGGCTCTGAAATAATATCTTGATATTTCAAACTTCATAAAACTCCTCCACCCTGGAGCTAGTAACAACGTTACTTTTACTTATGATGTCTTTACGCCTCAAGTCAGAATATTGCCATTTTCACCATATGTATTCCTTTTTAATTATATTATATGGATACTGTCGTCAACAATATGATATGCACACCCCTCTCACAATGGGAGAGAGACCTGAAAGTACATGAGTAGGTGAGGTAGTGCAGACAGACGAGAAACTGATACTTTCTTTAGTATCCACAGTACGTATCTAATGTAATGTGAATGGAACAGTTGGACATTAACACTGGTTGAGTGGTTCAACTGCAGGCTCCTGTATAAAGTGGTCTTACCAACCCAAAGGTTAAAGTGGGTCTTGGTGGCAGGTGTTTGGACTATAGTAGCCAGTACGGTCAGTAAGCGTGAAAAGAAATTAGCTTTCCCATGCAGGTTTTTAAAGTCTGCAAGAGAACGTAAAATGCATTGTAAAGGTTCAAGATCATGAGAGGTGTAAAAAAAAAAGTGGACAGAAAAATCTGGAACACAAGGGAGAATGATTTGGTTGGTGCCTGGTTCATACATGACTCTCTGTTTGTAAACTCACTGACTTTTTATATATTATCGTGATCCACAGGCAGTGACCTCCAGCTGTATTTTAATGCAGGCCTGCACACAGCCATACAACCCAGCCTTTATGACCTTCTTCACAGACAACTGACAGCACAATATAAAATCTTCAGGTCCATCCAAGAAAGTCAATAGGGTCTTGAAATAGGAAAAGAAGGGGGATCTGGGTAATTTCCTGCCCCGAGCGCTGTGTGAGAACATGTTCTTGTGTGACTTTCAAACTCGGCTAATTGAGCTTTTTCTTCTTTTGTAATCCCCACCACGCTCTCCCACACCCACTCCGCCGGCTCGATCACTTCAAACAGACACGCTCCTCATCGACTACCAGTTCACCTTCAGCCTGTCGCAAGAGGACGACCGCTACTACACCGCCATCAACTTCGTGGCCACACCTGAGGAGGTATGTCTCTGACAGTGAACGCCCCGCCGCCGCAGCAGCTGTCACTTTTATTAGGATTAAAGATTGTATAGTCAGCACCAGATGATGATGGTGGTGGTAGTATACCCCCCTCGGGTTATTGTCAAACAGGTTTCTTCCGAAGACACTTCTCCAGTTGTGTCTTTAGCATTATGGTGATAACAGTGATTAATATGAGTAAAAATGCTATGGTTAGTTAACGTCTCCTTTTTAAGAGAGACCTGTGCACAAGAACAAATATAATTTCTCCAAAATGTCAACTTCTCATGAGCTGAGAAAAATGGCCCCCCTTTTCAATATGGTGACAGTGCATTTTTCAGCCAATGCAAAGGGGTTTTTAATGGTTTATTTAGTTAAAGAAGAATTATAAAGGAAGGAACACTTCATTCTGAGTCACCAAATTTGGAGATAAATGCTTTTCATTGGACAGACAGCAGCATAGATAACGATGCAGACATTCACAGCACTTCATTTACATACACAATCATTTAGCTCCACATTAAAAAAAGCAAGTACAAGTGGCACTCAAAATGCTTGAGTATATTGTATTAAAATCTTCAGAAGTAATGAGAGAGATTTTAATTTCATAAGAAAAACAAGCAGCAACCATAACCCAGTTAACAGAAGAGAAACAGTATAACAGCAAACTGTTTAGCAGTATTATATCATAATGGTATCTATATTAAGTTGGGATAGGCCCATTGAGACTGAGATCTTTTTTTTAAAGGGAGACTTGGGTAAATACTTAGAAAAATTACAATATATCAAGTTCCAAAGAACAATAATATAGAACAGACCACAGCCAAAAATAGTATATAATAATATAAACATAAGCATAATTTATAAATAATCATACCAAAAAACAAACGTAACTAATGAAATAAACAGAATGGGCCCCACTCACTCTTGATATAATGAACAAATTAAGGGGAAAAACACCCTCAGGCTCGACACTTCACTCAGTACAAGTCAGTCTGCCACTGCTGAGCAAAAACAGACTGAAGTGTAATGTCATAGTGTGATTTACACTCCTCACACAGTCAGTCACACAGATGTTTTGCCAGCAAATGAAAGCTTGTCCAGTCCTGTTTACCTGGCTGCAGCATCTGGAGCCCAAACTGAAACAAAAGGATCTGATTAGATAACCCAGATGGCATCTTTCCCCTGACAACGCTTTTACCAACTGGGAACAAATGCAGAACTGCAGTCCCTCTGTCAGCTAGAGGTGTGCATAATTGATAATGAATTAAGAAAATATTTAGAATTTTCCTTAATTGAGCCTCTTTAAGCATTCCTCTCCACTTAAGCTATTTCAATGATTATTAACACTGCCTTTCAATCAGTAAGTAAACATTAATTAGGTCTTAATTTACACCTACATGATGCTATCAAAGCTGATAAGACTGCACGACTGCACAACTGCACATACAGTATCTGGATACGTATCATTTTCGTCAGTGACTCGTGTTCAAACATTTGTTTTGCTAATTCAGCTTCCATTAGCTGTGCAAATTTGCTCCACTCTGCAATACAGTAACTGTTTGTACAGCTGTGATCTGGTTTGGGTTCTCTGCTCTACAATGATTTGCAGTAAAGCAGAGCACCTTTTTAGTCCTGGTCCATCCCTGTCCACTGTACATTTATGTGATATCTGGGACTTAAAGATGTTGATGATGATGATGATGGTGACTGCGTGTTTTCTGTGTTGTCTCTCCCTCCTCAGCCAAACCGGGATCTAGACATGTTCATAAACGCTTCCAAGAATTTCAACCTGAACATAACCTGGGCCACTAGCTTCACAGGTACGCCTCAACAAACAGCCCCAGTAGTGCTGACGACAATTAGACGATAACAGAAAATTGATTGCAATTAAATTATTATTCATTAGGCATGAAACCCACCCTGGATGTAGCTTTCCCAGGTGTGAGGATTTGTTGCTGTTTCTCCGTTTTTGTATCACTGTAATTTGAAGATCTTTAGATACTGTTGGTCAGACGGATTAAGCAGTTTGGAGATGTCACCTGAGGCTCTCTTTTTCACATTTTTCTGTGAAAATAATTGTTAGTTGCAGCTGAACACTTCAGACTTAATTCAGTGAAACAGAAGGTGGCAGCAGGTGGCAGCTCCCACCCATCCTCTGTCCTCGGGTTGCCAGGCCAGGTGTCTTCATCCTGTAGGCCTTTTCACAGTTTAATACAACACCGAACATTTAGATCAGATTGTTTTGTTTTGCTAAATGTAATGGGGTAGGTAAAGATCAGGTAACAGCCTGGTAATATTTCTGTCTTGCATTCTTGCATGTTTATTCTGATATAATGTAAAAGTGAATTGGTAGTTTAAACTGATTACTTTTCCTCCTGTAATATTTAACTGTTGTTGATATTTGGTTACCTAAAATGGGGTAATCACATAAAGAGAGTGCTGTCATGTTGGATTTGGATGAAAAAATCCTCAATTCCATTAAGTTTGTGTTCTTAGAGTTTATGTAGTACAGAGGAAAACTGTTTTCATGTTTAAGTTTGTAGAAATATAGCCATTTAATGTCTACTGTATCCTCCTATCTTCATTCATCTGTCTTTATTTTATTGCCCTCCCCCCCATACAACATGTTCTTACTCACATTTCTATTCATCACTCTCCTCTGTCACACCCCTCTCCACCTTCTGCCCCTCTTTTTTGCTCTTCTTTCTGTCTTTCAGCAGGCACCCAGACCGGGGAGGAGATCCCCATCGTCTCTCGGAGCAACATCAAGGAATTCAAAGACAGCTTCTCCAACGAGAACTTTGACTTCCGCAACAGCCTCAATATAACCTTCTTTGTCTATGTCAGCAACTTCACATGGCCCATTAAGATTCAAGTAAGCTTCAGTTCACCCAAATAACAAAATAACGTACGACGACGACGTAGTTTGTGCCGCAATATAACGACATTAATTAGTCTGCTTCACTAGATGTGTGTTATTACTGCATTTTAACCAGTGATTGTATGTTTCACTAAAATAAAAGCACATGCTTACATTTTTAAGAAAAGGTGGGTGAAGAGCAGACAACTGTATTGCAATGTGTTCAAACCATATCGTGTAAAAGTTATGATCATTACCGTTCAGCATTCTTAATTCACAGCGATATATATTTTAGGAATCACCACCTTAAGTTGCACTATAAAAATTAAATTACATTTTGTCTGCTGAAATCCACAACAGACAAGCAACTCATTTCCAGTCTTTGTGATGCTTTAGTTTCATGTTAAATGACCAGATTTAATATTGAGAATGACACTTTCAGCTATGACGTCCAAGGATCGGCCTCCACTTACTGATAAGTTGAACAGGGAAGAAAGCTGATGCTTGAACTCTATATATGGGAGTCTCTTGTGCTTTGACCACATGGGAAAGCAGAAATGACTGTGATGCCTGGGAACGTGTGAATGAAATGTGACAGAAAAGGAAAGTCACAATGAGAAATGTGCGAGAAATGATCATCTGTGTTGCACTTTAACAAAATATTGAATTATGACAGATGTCTCACACGCCCTTAACCCAGTGCAGCTTTAATGCCAAGTCATGTTGCTTCTTCAAGTAATACATATAGAACATAACACATGATAAAAATATAATTTACTTAAGTAGAACATGAGTATAAACCTAAACAGGCCAAGCTGTCCTGAATATTTACTGACTGTAGCAGTGATACATCTACAAAATGCCATTAATTCAGTTCTGCAAATGTGTTTTTATGTGCAGAGTTATCCCATATTCGGCTTGTCTATGTGGGCAAATAAACACTAACACATACACTCATTGCCCCAAATATTTTGGATTAAAGTGCAGGAAAACTGTGGTCAGTTTGCACTGTGACTGGTCAACTTGTCTGATTTAAAAGCCACTTTTCTACTCTATAAACCAAAGAGTTGGCTAGTAAAATGTAAATGTTGGCAGTCACCAGTAAAACGTGGTCAGAGGGGCGGGGGGGGGGCGGTTTCCTGCATTTGGTGTGCAGGAGCTTTTCTTCAGTGTTGATGTGGCGCCTTGGCAGTAGTAGTGAATAGGACTCTGTGTGCTTGCCCGGTAGCTGGCAGTTTGTGTTTATGCAGCCGAGCTACAATCGCTGCTGCGCTAGGTGAAGCGCTGCCATGTGGATGGCTGCTGGAGAGCAAACTGTCTCTCAATAGTGCTCTTACTGTACTTAATGTTGGGGTTTAATGCCTGTAAGAACTTAATTTGCAACAGGATGAAAGTCGACTCATTTTAGTCTGTTTATTCAGTGTGGATCTTTTCACTGTAATAAAGGGCTTTAATGTGTGATATTCTGTGTTGTCATCCCCTTACTCGGTTTGCATTGGAAACATTTATCATAGGCACGGTTTTGATTGCTCAGCAGGTGTCCATAAACATCTTATAATCAACTTTATATATCAGATATCAGTTATTGGTTAATATTCTTTTCAATATTCTATGCTCAAACCTCACCACTACTACTAACACTAGATATTGGAAAAACCTGAATCAACGCAGTTATAAAAACAGATTTAACAAAAGGATTTATTATAGGGCTATTATTCTGTCTGTCATTTTCATATAGCACCAGAGGCACCATAATCAGTAACCTTTTACACAGAGTTTTTAGATGGACTACAACCATTTAAAAGTCCCATGAATTGGTATCATTTCTCCCTGAATGTGAAGTGTAACAAGGTGAATAAAGGTAGATTTGATAGGATTGGCAGTTTTCTAGAAATTTCAAGTGCTTATTTCCTAAAACAACTTGATTCGAAAGACAGTTCCTATTTTTGCTTGTAGTTTGTTGCCATGGTATAAGCATAATAATACTCTCTGTAATATGATATAGACAATAAGGAACTGAGGATTAGTATATGAGGACAAGGGCGACTCTCTAGGACCAACAGATCTTAGTATGTTTGAAGAAGTGCCTTTCACGTTGATCTGACGGAAAAAATCTAACATGAACTAGATTTGTTGATATTTGATCAGGTCTAACTGATCACAAAGCTAACCTACTGAAATGCATTTACTATCAGCGCTTCAGAGGTGTAAAGAAATCTGAAATGGTAAGTGAATGCGCCACCAGGAGTGGCTGGTGCTTTGGGAGCATGAGGTGTTCTGGGCCTGGCTTTTTGCCTGCCTGTGTGCCTCCCAGAAGAACTCTGGAAGTGATTTGACTGGTTGCCCCGTGCAACCTCCTTCCCCCTGCCCTCCTCCTGTAGGGGGAAAAAAAATCCTGCCTCCATCTTCCATGTCTTGCCTTCTGAGGGCTTTTAGTTCTCTCAGCTTCTGATCTCCAGCTGCTGCCAGCCAGCCTCAGGAGGTCTACAGTGCAGCTTCACAGCAGAACCAGAGAGCTGAGCTGAGCTGAGTTGAGAGAGCCACCCCCCCCTTCTCAGCCTCCTCTGGTCCACCTCACCTTCTGTCTTGGTTGGTGGGATCATATAGAAGATCACCCCTTTACCTGAAACTAAAGCACGCAGGTCTGCTAGCGTGTCATTTTTTTCCTTGCACTCATGGAACTTTACCTTCGTCAGCGAGGTAACATTTTGCGCTTGTTTCTCTTTCTTTTTCTGCCACTTCTCCTTGTATTAATCATTTTTGTCCCACTCTTTCTTCATAATAACAGCCATTCCTTTTTTCGGTTGCCTTTTCTAACTCTCCTTGCCGTCAGTGGTCTGCTGCAGTGTGGCATTGGGATGTGTGTGTGTGTGTGTGTATAATCGTAGGCGGTTGGTCCTCCAGTGTTGGCAGGCAGAGATCGGAGTGTTGGAAAACGGTTCATAAACAGCAGCCGAGAAAGCGCAAGGGCAAAGTGGAATGTTAAGTTGAAACACATGCTGCATTCAGAGTGGGCTGTGTGCAAGCTAAGCTCTCTCTCTCCCAGCTTTAGTGTGCAGCTATACACAGCTCAGCCTCTTTCTCTTTCACTAACTGACGCACCACCTCAAGGTTGCCTCTGTTTGCTTTCACATGGTCGGCAGTAGCATCAGAGCAGCGAGTTTCTTTTTGTCTGTTTGCATTGACTCCACTTGTTGCAATCACCACCCGATGTGTTGCACTGAATCAACAGCAAACATTACCCCCCCCAAAAAAAAAGAAAACTGCACGGTGAATTCCAGTTCTTGGTGTAGCAGTCTTCCTCTAAATGTGTATCAGATAAAATATGCAAAACTTCTAAAAAGCACAAATGTTGGATTGCAGGAAAAAACACTTTGATATAATCATTTTGACCGACCAAAAATGAGATCTTTTACAATAGTCAAAGTGAATTCTGTGATGACTTCATCACTGAGCCTGCATCATCAAAGTAAAATCAATTGCACTGAGATTAGTCAGCGAGGAGTTTCTCCCACCCTCTTTTTTTTCTCTTTTTTTTTCTTTCCTGATGAAGAATAGATCTGAATTTAATGATGTTTGTAATGAAACGCAAATCCCAGACTAATTACATTAAAGAGCTGTGATCTCCTGTTCCGTGCCTTAGTGAACATGTCATGATATGGTAGAGATTAGTACAGCCTCCAATTTAATGCCCTGCTGTGGAGTAGCAGCAGCTGTAGCTATCAGCTGGCTGGGCCGCTCTGCGTATCTTTGTGGGCTCGTGTAGTGTTTATCTGGGCCATGCATGGCTGCCTGATGTGTTCGTCTTGATACTGATCACAGAGAGGTTGGGAAACAGAAACTGAGCAGTTTTGCCAGCCTGTAACAATGCCGGGTACGACCAAAACTCAACCAGATACAGAATTTAACTTTATGCAAACAAATAAAAAAATAAAAGCTACTATTGATGTTTTACCTACCTTAACATGTAAAATGCAAATACAAATAAGATATAAGAAATTAAATGTAATCAAATAATAATAAAATGTGAAAATATTATACAAACCATCCTTTAGTTGTCGATGCAGTTCAGTCCGTACCATTGAGGTGGACAGACAGACCAATATTACCATCTTTACAACCACTCCGTTAAGATGGCTAAAAACTATTGAAAATAGATGAAATTTCAAAATAAGGCAGATTATTGCACTAGTACAGTGAATGACTTACCTGCTTTGTCTGCATTTGGCTGGTGGCTTGATCAGTTTTTTAAACCAAATTTAAGAAGGAATATTCAGTACCACTTTATTTGACGGGGTTATTTTCCATTAGACTGACATTACACTATCTTGACACCATCATAACCAGGGCATGACGGTCAGCTACTGACTTAATGACAACTGTCATAAACATTCAGAAAGATTCCTCCATGTTCATGACAGTGCCATGTCAGTCTTATACACACGCCTTCAAATAAATTGGTACTGAATAATCTGTGATACAGTACTGTCTGGCACATGACAAAGCACACATTCATAGAAGTATCCCACACACAGACACATTCAAAATTCTGTTTCCTTTTGTCCTTCCCTTTTTTGTGAAAACCTGTTGAGCAACCCTCCCTCGCACTGATAATGACACTTTCCTTCAAAACTCCAAAATAGTTCAAGCGGCTGTCAGAAGCCATTAAAGGCAGAATATTTCCCGTCTTAATGCCTGGGGGCAGACTGACAGGCCCTGCTGCGAGATCCTTTGCGGCCCCTAAAGAGTCACCCTCTGCTGGGTACATAACGAGAGTGTCACCCGGGCCTCCCGCCGCCACCATTGGCCTGCCTCTTGGTGACACGGCACCACACGACTGACACTTGAGATTACCCGCTACAATAACTGTTATCGCAAATCTGCTCAGCGAGATGGCCTGCTTGTACTTTTCAAAATGGAGTTATGCAGTGATGACATGATGCTGCAGCGCCCATCGGTGCTTTTTCATGTGTTGAGGAAGTGGATGATGTTGAAAAGGGCTATTGTGTCATCGGAAAAGAACATTATGTATCTCTAATCACCTAGAGAAGTAGATGGCTTTGTTAGGCTGCTGTCACAAAGCAGCCCGGCTTCCAGTACACCAGCTGACAAGGCTTCTTTGATAACTCTAAGCTTTGCTCTTAAAAGAATCCCTGCCACTCACAGTTTCATACAATCTCCGGTAGTTTTTCTTCAAGCCATTCATTTTTACCTCCCATTTACATTCATGAGCACAGGAAGTAAAATATTCCATCAAAAACTATTTTCTCTTAATTGCAAGTAGCAGTAGTAGTTTAGTGCTTTGTGAAGGTACAGGGAAAGGCTTTTTTTCCTCCTTTTTAAATCCTGTTTATGTTGGAGAAGCACTGAGGAAGTGGGCAGAGTCTGGAAAGTAGAGCAGCTGCTTCAGAGTATTTTGGATTGTAGTGTCAAAAAGAGAGTGAGAAGTAGTAAGCAAAAACAAAAATATTTCTGCCTGTTAATGTCACACTGCCATATTTTCTGTGCCCCCCAGTTAAGAATAAAGCTAAAGCAATGAGATTAATTGATTAGTTTCACTATTTTTATAATAACTGAGTCATTTAACAAGCAAAATTGCATGCAGTTGCTTTTGCCAGCCTCGCAAATGTGAGCATTTTCTGCTTCTCTCTGTTTTAAATTACTAAAAATTGTATTCATTTGAGCACTGAACTCTTGGTTGGACGTAAAATGCAACGTTAACACGCCAACTTGGGCTCTAAGGACTTGCTATGGCCATTTTTTCACCTTTATTCAACCAGTAAAGCCTCATTGAGGCAAGAATTCACTGGCCAAGAAAAGAAGCAATAATAATGAGTTACTGAAAAATGACATAGAACAAATAACACAAAGAATGTCATGAAATAAAAAATTAAGGAGAAATGCAATTATTGAATATTTGTAATACACTCAGGATTTCATCCTAAAAACAACTAAAACCAATATGCAACCAAGTATTTGCCCTGATTGACATGAAACACTGTAACTTGGCAGCATTAGCGCTTTGACACATCCTCTACAATATTCACGCAACTCTTGGTTACCTACTGAGTTCTACACTGCCGACATTTTTTTTTAAAGTTTTTCTCCGGATTTACTGGCACCCTGAACTTCTTGTCAGTGTTCAACAGGAAAATTATCACACTGAGGATTCGGCGCTCAACAGTAATCAACAGCAACACATTAGTGAGCCAGATGGTGCTGACTACACAAGTAAATTAGACCCTGGGCCGTTCACAACACACACACACACACACACACACACACCCCTGTCATCTCGCCACAGAGGCCAGTGCCTGTGGCCCTGTGTTGTTCTTGTGTAAAGTCACTGTAGATTTATACAGATTCTGACCCATCAAGTTTTTCTATGCATGTATTGTAATTCTTGATCACATATTAAGTATTCATAGACTAATCTGACATTCACACAGTTTTTCCGGCTTTTGTCTTTCTTTCTTTTTTCTTCCTCCTGCCCCTTTTTTCTGCTGGAATTGTATGCAAATCCCCCCTTTGCAGAGGAATAATAAGCAGGCGCGGTGATAAGTTCTGGTCCAAGGTGTCACCTCGGAGAAAAGATGTGTGAGGTGAATTCTGCTGCGGCCAGGAGGCGCGGTACCCTGATGTTACCAGAGAGAGGCAGTGTTGTGTTATTCATTTTGAAGCTTTTTTTTGGGGGGGGGGGGCTT